CCCTACAATATGTATTGCAAATTACTTTATCAAAGCTAATAAACAAGGCTGAGTCAGCAAAAAAAAAAAAAAAAAAATATCTTATTATAAGAAGCTGATCATCTTCAGCCAATGTAAAATTTAAATAGATGTGTAATAATAACAAGCTTGATCTAATATTTATATTAGGAATTTTTGTGTTAGAAAAAAATGGGTTAATATATAAAAATTAGAGTAAAAAAATGTTTGAAAAAGATATGTGTTATTATCCACTATTTATAATATATTATATATCCATTTTTCTAGCTTCAAGTAATAAATTACACTTTTAATTGTTAGAAAAGTTTATTAATCCATCCTTTGTATTGCAGAGTTTGATATTATTGTGAGTTCAAAATAGATGACAAAATTTAAGTAGACAGTAAATATTAAGCATGCAACTCTCAAAGCTCTCAAAGATTCTATATATGCTGTTTATTAAATACTAGCTTTTGAAAATGATAAAGTAGTATTTAGTATTGTATATGATAGTGGAAAATATTACTTCAAAATAACCAAATATTGTGCAAAATGCTCTAGTTACTAATATCAAAGAATAACCTCAAGTTTACTGTGTTTATAGAAACTCTCTTAAAGATATTTTTGAATTGAATATTTTTAAGTAGACATGTTCTTTTATATCTTTTCTTCCTTGAAACATCCTACTACTTTCATTTTTACTTAGCTGGCCAGCCTTTTCTCATAATATTTTATGAAAAAAATAGCTTAGCATTGAAGCTTTATTTCTTGAAATAAATATATGATTTGATCTTTTAATTATTGTATGTGTGCCGAGTATTGTTTTCTTTATTATCTTTGATTTCACTATCTACTTATTTATACCAAAATTTCTACAAAATTTGAAATCCAAAGTGCGAATCAAATTTCACCTGCCAAGATATGATCATTATGTTATACATATATAATAATTGATATATTTAGTCAATCAAATTACAATATATAATTTGCATATCTAATTTTTTTACAATCAATAATTTTTTTTCATATTTGTTCTCTTTTACATATTACACATCTTTTTTGTTTGATTGACTTAAAGTTAAGTATAATTTAATATTTATATTTCTTTCAAACCTGATATTTTCCTGATCTATAAAACTTGAGAGGTACTTCTGCCTCTAATATTGAAGATGAAATGGCCTGACGGCAATTTTCAAAGGATATTATAAGGTTCTAGTTTTCTAAATCCAGTGTTTCCCTAATCATAAAACCTGAGGGGTATATTTGCCTTTGGTGTTATTGATGAAACAGCTGTATACTGTAATAATTTTATAATTATCTAAGAAAGTTTCAGGTTAAAAAAAATTGTTTCTCAAAATCATTCATTTGATTTACTTATTGGATTTATGTCTATTTTATTTTTTATAGGCATTATAGTTTGTGTTAAATATTGTTATTGCATTTATTGATTATTTCATTAGATATTAATATTTTATTTTTATCTATAGGTTTATATTGATATATTAAAAAATAAGTTATATTTGCAAATCAGAAAAAATTTATAATTAATAATTAATATATTATTTTTGAAATTATATTTAAAATCAATAAAACTAAAAAAACAAATTGAATTAATAATTGATTTTTTTTTAATATTATAATTAGACTAAATTATAGTTTATTAATTAATTAAAAATATTACTATTTTTATTTGAGCAATATAATATATACTATAGCCAAAAATTTATAATTATATCTAATTAAATTGGCATAAATAATAATAGTCTCTAAGTTTAATCTTGAGAACAATATTTTACTTTATAATAGACTTTGAATAAATACTTTTCTGATCCATTATTTTATTATTAGCAAGTTATTATTATTATATATTTTATTAAGCCACTGGAATATAGAAAACTATAAAGAAAATAGGTTAAAAAAAAGAAAGAGAATATAAAAATATATAAATATATTACTAGAAATCAAAAAAATAAAATAAAATAAAAATTTTTAGCTTTCTTTAAAAACCATCTCTTCTTAATAAGAAATGCCTTATTGAAATATATATATATATTTTTTAATTATTTAAGAAACTTATTTATTCTAGATTTTGATTTTCTTTTCTTTAAAAGATTTTTAATTTATTTAATAATTTTTTTTAAAAAATTTTTTCTAATTAATATATTTTTGGCTTTATAATATTTGAGAAACTTGGTTATTTTTAAATAATGAAACTTTAAGAAAAATATTTGAAAAATCTATTCTTTTACCAATATATACTGTAGATATATTTATTATAAATATTGAAGCTAATGTCATATTATAGAAGAATTTGTCTAATAAGGATAAAGAAATTTTTTCAAGAATTTTATTTAATAAAATGGAGGTTTTAATTCTTCAACTTTTGTCAATTAAAACCTTTTTATTATTTTAGAAGCTTAATAAAAGATAGAAACTAATTATTTGCATTATCTGATATTTATTTTTTGATATTAAAATTATTTTCTAGAGAACTTGTTCAATTATATAGTCAAAAAAAATTTTTTTTAATTTTAATGACATCATTATAATATGTGAATATAATCATTAGGTGCTTATTTACATTTCAAAAACAAACAAGTTTAATATCAACCAAACACCTTTAGTAAAGATTGTACCATTCAAAAATTCAGAATTAAATTGAACTAGATAGAATTTCTCATAAAATCATGAAAATAAGAACTTTAAAAAAAAACACAAATAGTTGACAGAAGGAAAAAACAAACTCTTTTACTGCAGAAATTCTCTAAAAACATTTGTTTACAATTGGTTCTTTTTTTTAAAAAAAAATTCTTGCCAATGATAGTAAAAATGCTATTTGACTTTTCTTGACCACAAGAAATCAAGTTTATGGTTAAGGAGATTTGTAAAAAAAGAAAGGAGATGTAATAATGACTCTTGAAAATACTATTCAAGTTATTAAGTGAGATCATTTAATAAGATTTGCTAAAAGCTAGCAAGGCTATAATTCGCAATATGATACGAATCATGCAGATAAATCGCTATTATGTGAATTAAATAAATACAGCAAATAAAATAAACAAATTTGCCGCTTTTAATAATCATGAAACAATTCCTGTGGATATACAGTATGTCGAAATATAAATATTAAATTTCCATCTCACTCCTCACTCATTCAATTTCCATCGTCCCTTTCAAATGAGAAGATTAATAACGTCTTATAATGATATTCGGAGAAATCCACATTTCCCAACTCTTATTATCTTTTGGATCCGCTAACAACTTCAATGCCCTCAACCTTATGTAATAACTACCATCAGGAACCTTCTCAAAGGTATCATTTTCAATGCTCTTTAACCCATCCCATGCAAACCACAATGGATAACACTTTTTTGGTGGATATTTGCCCACATAATTAGCTTTGGCGTACAAGAATAATACCTTTTTTTTTGAATCGAGAATATGAACTTGCAAATAACGGGTAGGTGTTATTAATGCGTATTCAACAATTGGAGTATCGCCATCAGACATGCTAAAGATGGCAGATGCTCTCTCGGGCACCACCCCCATGGTGGATGATAATAGTCGTGGAAGAGTTGGCAAAGGCATTATTGGGAGTTCCTCGGCTACCGATGCATATCCAGCTTCATGTGACAATTTGGAAGGGCAATAACGTACGTATAATTAATAGGTTACGTATATGTAGTTTAGATCCACAATTATAAGTAAAATAGCTATACACACCGTATGGAATGGTGACATTAACATCATCATCTCTCGATGTCACCAGAATAAACCCACTGTAAAACCAACGACTTTCTCTACTAACCTTCGGCGGAGTAATTTTTATCAAAATGCTTTTGTTCTCTCCTGGCCCGACCATCACAAAATTTTCGCGAAACTGAACATCCGCTACCACCTCATTACTGAATGTCAACTGTTGGTACGATGCACTATGAGTGTTATTAACATATCCGTCCACAGATGCCACCGGAAAGCTTGAAAGCGTATAATTTTTTGTAACACTCCCACCATTGTAAATCCACAATGGGCGCCAACTGAAATTTCCGTTTAGGGTATCGTTCAGGGCCAGCTTTATAGGAGTGACAGATGTTAGAGAGGAGATGGAGTTATAGACGTTAAGGAGACCGGAACCTTGCTGAAGCACCGGGGAGATTGTGTTTGTATAATCGCTGATGGTGGGAATTGCATAATTCATGAGTTCTTGACGGATTCGAAGGGGTGTTTCCGGACCTTGATAACCATATTTTTCCAACAATAAAGCGACAGAACCTGCAACATATGGTGAGGCCTGAAATAAAACACAATCAGATTAAGTCGCATGCGTTTTAATGAAGATATTGAGGAATGGCACAATTACCATACTGGTTCCAGATAACAAGGAGTATCCACCAAATTTTAAAGGATACAATGAAAATATCATCCCTCCCGGAGCAGAAATTTCCTGCAATTAACAACGTCAAAAGACCCCCAAAAAGAATGGCAAAGTTAAGGACATTTTTGAGGAATGCCAACACTCACCGGCTATTATCATTCGTGGGGAAAATTTTTGTGATACGTACAGTATGAACGATAAATGTAAGTATAATAGAGAAATGTTACTTTAACACATTCTTTTTCACAAAATACCTTAATATCAAACTCTGGTGTTAATCCCCAGGACGTAAATGGTGACGAAGTTTTACCGAATTTATTGGGAATAAAGTATGTCAGCACATCTGAAAAGTCCAGTTCCAGCTCAGGTAACTCCGCGGCCAACGCGACAAGCTGACGAAATTGCTCGGGAATCAGTGTCGCGTAGGGAATTGGAAATTTTTGGGGTTTTAGTAACGGATATAGCGGAACTAGTGAGTTACTTTCCAGAGCGAATATTCCGACAATGTATTTTTGTAATTCAGATGTCTGCAAGTAAGGATTAGTATGCATATAAAATCATTGAGTTAATTTTGAGGCAAGAATATCAGACACATGCCTTTAAAGTACAATTCCTTAGCAAATTTTCTATATCGAGAACGAGTATTTTCGATTGGTAAATAGAATAATCATCTGGACAATCATCAAGCGGACATACAGTTATTCTAGCCCTTTGTAATGGGAAAGGTCTTAAATATTTTGTTATATAATCTATCATAACAATCTCATTAGCGTACGATCATTAATCGGAAATTAAGAAATGAAACCAAATTCTGTCATTAACTTACTAATCTCGATAGATTTATTACCAACCACCACAGCTTTGTGCACCGCAACGTACGTATTTTCCACAGACGAAACAGATATGGCATCAAGCCCTATTGCTGGTACACCAGATTCCCAAAGTCCCTTGTAACCATAATTTCCATTTGCCACTACCACGACAATCCCAATTTTTGAAAGAACATCGGCCATCTCCGAGACTGGAGATTCGGCCCACCCTTCTTCCGACTAATTGGATGGTGTCATGGTAAATAAAAGTTATTCGAAAGGGAAAATACAAATTTATCACTGCTCGACATGCTGTACATACCAGCGATAGGTTAATAACATCCATCCCATCATCTTTGGCCTTTTCCATCCCCTTCAATATGACATCATTGTAACCATATCCATCGCATTTTACTACTCTGTAAGCTCCGAAAATCACGTCTGGTGCAACTCCAACGAATCCGGTCCCCTCAGGTCTGCGATCGTCGGCTCCCACAATGCCGGCCACATGAGTTCCATGGCCAAGACACGGATCCATAGGATCGCGGTCATTGTCTACAAAGTCGTAGCCGTAGCGTACTCGACATCCCGGTCCAAAGCAGCCGCCCAATGCCGGATGCGTGTAGTCTACGCCTGTGGTGTTTGATGATAGGGAAGTGGAATATACAGTTTGGAACCACACCATCGGGATAATAAGAAATAATACTCACCACTATCCACAATTCCAACTTTAATCTCGTTTCCGGTTAAACCATAGCGATGACGCACCAATTCAATGCCAGTAAAATTGTGAACAAAATTTACATCAGTTCCAGGTGCAAATTGAATTTTTGTATCAGGAAGCCATTCTCGTTTCCCTGATTCCGAATAATAGTAAGAATTTCGATGCAGATGTAGTAAAAGGCAGAAGAATATGATGTTACCTTTATTTATGACACCGGATTCCACGAATGGGTTTTTGCTTCCTTTAGGAATTACTCTATGGTCATACTACGTATTTATGGGAATTCATTAAAATTCAAGTGAAGCCATCACCATACAGGAAAAATCAATGAAAGCACGCACCACTCTCAAAACACTCTTGACACCTTTGATACTCTTCACAATTTCCAAATGTTTCTCCTCGAATTCAATGCTCACCACGTTGATCAAATCCCAAAATTCATGCCTGATTTTTATCATTATTCCTTTTTTCGATAATTCCTCGTAAAATTCAAGATGTTCCAAGTGGATTTTTTCGTAACATAAGGTCTTATTCTCCGAGGATATCGATAGCTTTTCGATTACCCGTGTATTATCTTGATTCGATCCCGTATTTATTCTCGAAGTATTTTTATTGACTTTAGAACCGCTGGGTTCTACACCGATACTCATGTTAGCCGAGAGATAATAGGAAGAAAAACAAGAAGGTGTATAGAACCTGATGTAATATGCGTTCACGACGTAAATCTGATGAAAATCTGACGACGGATGATTTTGAAAGTTAGGGGATGTCATATTACGTGATGGCGGTCGTGAAGAATCATGATGAATCTCTGGCTTATGTGTGGTGGATGGTAGAGGATCATTATGCGTTTCCAAGTTATGCGCGGTGGAAGGTAGAGGGTCGTGGTGCGTTTCCAAGTTATGCGTGGTGGAGGGCGAAGAACCATGGTGCGTATCCAAGCTATGCGCAGTGGAAACTGGTCTATGTTGCACGGTTGAGGGTAAAGAGTCATAATGTTGGTGCTCGCTATGCTGGAAAGGTATCTGATCAAATACCAAGTAATAAACATAGATGTACGCGACGGCTGCCAGGATCCATAGCAAAATGACTTCAAATGGTTTTCTGTTGAGTTGGTAAGTCGATTCACCTACTTCGAGATCAGTCATTATTATTTTTTTGTTCAGAATCGCATTAATAACGGGAAATTTTTTCCTTGAAAAAAAAAAAAATGTTGCACGTATGCTTTTTTTAACCAATTTCTTGTGCGTGACATTATACAGGATTTCTCTTATTGTGAACATAAGGACCTGGGCAAAATAACACATGGTGTAATATACATACCTCATTATTCGTGATGCTTACCCTCTCGAAACAAATATACTATATATATATATTATTATACAGAAGCTCCTGGTTGTGCATATACACATTTCCTTTTTCCTTCCATTCTCGTAGTTTATTAAATTACACCGTCTGTGTAGAGAATATTATTTTCAGTACTTGTTAAGAGTCAGGCATTTATTCTCACATGTATACATTCATGTACTTTATATGCATCAATTCCCTAATAGGGAAAATTTTATTTTGCTTACCCGCTTGTAATTAAAAATTCTTTTTTTTTTTTTGTTTTTCGGCGACATCACAAAATTACAAGAATCAACTCGCTCATAGGGTTTGGCCTCTATCGCGATGATCGCGAAGATCTGTCTTAGCCTCCCATCTGTCACCCATCAATTAACAACACAACACTTGGTAATTTATAATACGTACATACGTACATCGGACTTAAGATTCGAAATTCTTTAAAATTCCGATGTGCATAATTTCTACTACGTACACTGACTCAAAAAATTGTCCCAATAATTAAAACTTTTTTGTTTATAGGATATATTTTTTGATCGATTAATTTA